GATTCTCTTTGTGAATTAAGCAATGAAAACACCGGAAGGCTAGCTAGACTAGTTAATGTTTCCATTTGAACTCTGATCAACATTTTGCTGATACAGTTGTATCTACAGATTGAAAAGTGTTTTCCAGGTTTCAGTTGGCTGTCTGGACAATTTTTTGTTGTATTCAAATCAACGTCTGAAAAGAAAGCATTCTAACTCTTGTAGCATAGTCCACAGTGCAGCTTGAATTGTTCTATGGCTTTGTAAATATTTAGTATGTGTGTATATAAACTCAGTTTTAACCCTGAAAGCATGGATCTTGAATACTACGTAGTGCTTTCTGTGGCACTTAAAATTGACTAGTAAATTACAAAACGGTAGTTTTAAAAACTGAGAAAGCAATATTAATACCTCCTCTAAAATGAGCTCTTTTCAAAAAGTAAGATTTTGTCAAAAATGAACAGTTGGATTAAAGAGTTGCCAAAGCATGTAGCCGGCAATACTCAATGTTAAAATAATTTCACAATATTAGAGTGACCAGATGATCTACAGATGTAATTTTAAAACAAAGGTTTAGAATTTTCCAGAGAAGGCCTTACTAAATACTTAAAATCTGTTTTCATAATATGCTTAAATTTTATAAGATAGACCTATGATATCAACATAAAACAAATATACATAAATTTCAAACGGCTTATCCATGAATTCCTTTAAAAGCTGCAGTATTTGGATATCATAAACGTCGCTCAGAAATATTTCTGTATTTCCTGCCATAATTCTTAACTATGTTTTGGATAAAAAACTTAAATGTTAATAATAATAATCTGAGCTTTTTGGTTTTCTAAAATGAAAGAAATATGCTTTAAAAAAAAAGAAATATGTTTCTCATGTCATAGATAGGTATACATATATGATTCCCAAGATTCCTTTTCTCTCATGGCAATTCCAGATGTGAGGGTCAAACTTGTCACTGAATCTGGCTTTCCTTAATACAAAACCATTCACTGTGCTGATACAAAGAACTGATTGCTTAAGTTCAAATATACTTTCATACTCTTGTCTAACCATACATAAATCTTCTAATTTGAAAGCAATTCTTAACAGATAAATTAATATGTAAATGTAAAATGTAAACATAAAATACACAATTTAAAATAACTTGAGGCAGCAAGCTCTAGATTTTCATTAGTATCTCAGCAACAATTACAATACATTTTTAATAAGAGCTTCATATGTCACTCTGTCAGCTTGGCTTTATTGTATTAATACAGGGATATGTACTATCAGAAAGAAGTTCAAAAGCACTATCTACATAGAGTACAAATTTTGATATAAGTAGTTGGTATTACACAGCATTAACAATTCAAATAACAACAGAAATACATATTGTGGACAAGACTGCATAAGCAAACATTTGTTCCACAGCACCATCCCAACTATCATGGGAAGCAAAGAAGTGCCCCATACATATAGCATAGAAATTAGATAACCAAAACTCCATGGATCCATTTGTAACTCTCTAATCAAAGCTAAACATCACATACATTTTCATTTAACTTAGATGATAAAGAAAAACTCAATTTCCTCTGAACATCATTTGGCAGAAAGCCAAGCAATAAAGAATTTGACATTAGTTTGGAAATTTTAACAGATTACATGTAGATTATACCAAAACATTTTCAAATGTTAATCATTTTATTTAATACTAATTTAATACAAATAAGCAGTTATGATTTCCTTATTTGGCAGACAAATATTTAGAATGCTATTGGATGTCCCATGTACCTACTCCTATAACAAAAGCAAGTTCATTATTTATTCAGATGGGAGAAAAAATACTAATAGAAAATCTGAGGAAAATATCAGCACCACTAAGATAAATCAACACCAATTTTAACAACAACAACAAAAAACAATGGTGCAATCTTTCAAGAAGAACTGGAATTATATATTCTGAATGATCCTAAGCTGATAAGCCACTGACTTAGGGGAGAGCTCTACTGACATCAGCCACTTTCATTAGATAGTCAGCATCTTATTTATCTAAACCTGGGGTGAAACATTTTATTACAGTAGTCAATTTGGAAGTTATAAAATTCTTTTATTGGGGGTTGTTATTTGGGGGGTTAGAGTAGAGATGTAGCTAAGAAAATCAGTGTAATCTCCAGAATGAACAGCCTGGCACTTTGGTATCTCACTGGGCATTCAGGAAAGCTTTACTGTAGAAAGCAGGTTACCGTTTATGATAGTTGTATTTTCTGTGTTATCTAGAGAAAAACAGGTTCATCCATGCAAAATGGACTGTTTTAGAAGATATTGCTGCTAAAATGAAAGACTTTTCAAAAGGAAAAAGTGATTATTCCAGATGAAATGAGAAGCTCCAATGTCAACCTCACTTCCTGAATCAGCAAAAATCAAAGCTTTACTCAGAATAGGAAATTGGAGATTTTCTTTTAATTTACATATCTTTTTTGCTGAGTATGTTTTAGCTGAAATATGAGAGAACTTCTAAGAGACAGCACTTCTCATTTCCAATCGTGCTTTGCTATGGCATTATAAAATACCACTACTTGGAGCTAAGAAGACATAAATTTTACTAGCACTAATGTAGAAGAATCAACAGTTTAAGTCAGAAACAGCTTTTCATTTGTAACATTTTGTTATATACTTATTACCCAGGTCACTACCATACCAAGTACTTAGCTCTAAGTAAACATTTTAAGTATGACTGGGACATATCTAAATAGCTAAAGGTTTGGCACATTATAAGCAAAATTCTTAAATGAGCATCAAAATAAAAAACAAGAAAAACATATTTGACCCAGATACCTTATTGTAATGTGCACACTTATTATGTATATAAATCCTTTTATTAATTCAGAGGTCCAAGGGTGTTAAGAGGCCTAGATTAAACTCAGAAATTATTTTGTTAAATGAATTGTTACTTTTTAAAGGGGAAATTTTATTTAATCCTTTATAACATTTTGATAATAGTATTATTATAAATCTGAAATATATCCACATTATTGACAAATATCTGTCTTTTAGCTCTTTCTTTTATGTCAATATTTTAATGTATATTCAATGTTTTTCATCCTAGTTGGGTAGCTTCTTCTTAACAACAATAAACACAAAATGACAGCCTTTTAGCTAGAAAAAAATTTTTTTGTTGAATTCCGTCCTTTTGGGAGAAATGACGTAAAGTATGCCCAACCCTATCCCAACCTTTGCTACTCTTGCTGCTTCTTTTCCTTTATCGTAGGAGTTGAAGTATGAAATGTGGTCAGATTTTCTCTATTTAAAGATTGTTTTAAATATTCGTGAGTGTAACAAAATTATCTTTTGGTTTAATCTTAAGTGACAAGAAAAATAAAAGATTTCTTATCCACAAACTTTAAATAGCAATATTTTATTTTATCTGGCCTTTATATAATACCTTACCAGAATTCACCCTGTAACCATTACCAATAGGTGTAACCGAAATTTTTTTATCTGCCTTCTAACACACAACTAATTAAATACTAGGTTGACATAGTTAGAATTTGGGCAATTTTCTTTTATTGACCTCTATAAAAATTCTCTAACAATACATAATGGCACATAAAACATTTAAATGTAAATTTAATATTCTGAGAAAATAGATTAAATTTGTAATAATCTAAAGCCAAAAATATATACTGAGTTGTTTTACTATAAGAAAAACTGGACCTGAACAAAAAATAAACACCAATCATGGGAAAGGTAAGTAATTAAGTTTTTAAAGATTTTTCTGTATTCTCTTCACATGAGACACTTATAAGGAGTATTCACAGACTCAAATGTATACTGCCCCAAACCCTCAACCACAACAGACAACCTTCTAATGTTGTGTAAATTAAAGCCCAGGTTTTACGTTGATCATTATTCTAATAATTGGCTTTTAATACACCATTTTGCTATATAAATGCCTCAGCAGCTTACTCAGGGAAACTGTCAAACATTTTCCTTTTTATTTTAATGTCTACTGACCATATCTGAATGATTCCCATACATTTTCATTCAATATTGATATTAAAAGACAAAAACCGCAAAAAGAAAAAGTCTTTGTTTAAAAAGCTTTAGGAACCAATCTCACCTTGAACTAAACATACAGGTAAAGCACAATGCAGTTAAAAGGCAGTGTCCCAAATATACATGCGTAATGGACATCAGGGTTATAAAATGTAGAAAACCAACTTCCCCAACTGTAAAGGGTTTGAACAGGCCAATTATTTCAAACCATCCTATGATGAATCATCACTTTTTCAACAGTGTACAGAGATTAAGGGATAGCCAATAATAAAAAATGACAGTGTGATGGCCTAGCCTTATAGAAGCTGGTTTTTACAGACCGAACTGAGATATATCTGCTGTTTTCTAAGGCAGTATCCATGCTTAAAACCCTCCCTCTCTGCCTTTGTCCAGTTCTTTTACTAGCAACCAATTGCTTTCTTTTGGTTCAGCCTAGTAAAAAACTCAAAGGACTAGAACATGAAGGTCATCTAGGTCTACTACGTAGATGAACAAGCCAACAAAGCAACATCACAGGGCAAAGAGCAAAGGTGTTGTAATAAGAATCTAATACCAACAAAAAGAAAAATCAATATTAAATAATGAAAAATAGTAAACACTTAGGATTAAAAGAATGGCTGCTTTTGCTTTATGTAAATATTTAGATAACGTTCTTTTAAATACAAATTGAAATACTAACCATTTAATAATTATTTTTAAATTAAGTGAAATACATTCTGCAGTACACAATAATAACACAATGACCTACTGGTTAGGAAAAATTATGCTTACATTTATGTGTAAGTAAGGGAACATTGTAAATTCTTTGGCTTTTTATCTGTGTAGAACACTGACATCTCCAATTTATTGTATTGTTCTTGAAATTTAAAAGCAAAATGAACCACAACTATAGTCTTAAGTTACATGGCAGAAACAATCAACATGCAAAATAACCAGAGAATCTGTTTACTTTTCAATCGTATGTAGGAAGAATGAAAATAATTTCATAATTATTTATAAAAAGCTGCTTTTCCAGCTTTTGTTTTTCCCTACTACAACTTTGCAACTATTTCCTTTTTATGTTTTCATTGAAATCATAATGTTAATTGCTGCCATCACATTTATTCAACAGGCCAAGTCTGCAATGGGCAAATGGGATTCTGATGATTTGAAGCACAGAAAGAAATAGTTGAAATGATCAACCAGGTGAGAAACAGTCTCCTGAATAATAGCAAAAGAATGCAATTTCATCTAAGCAAAATCAAAACCAAATTTTCCCTTCCATAAAAGATATTGTTAAAAAAAAGGTGGACATCAAGTGGATCAAGAAACACTTATTATTAAATAGTTTCTTTGTAACACAAAAAAACTTATTTACTAAGGTTTCTTCTTCCATTTCCTATTCTCCTCAAAGAATATTGGAACACAAAGAAAAAGAAACCAACAGTTAAAATATACTTCTGTTAAAGGAAGAAAATTATTTAGCAAAACAGTGCAATATAAATGTTTTTACATATCATGGCAGGTGTTTTCCAAAAGGGCTAAATCACCTCAGAGAAGCATACCAAAAAATTCAGGAATACCGTCAAACAAGCAAAAAGTTCCTACTTCATTTCTTTTTGCATGAGATGGAAAAGGAAAGCAAAAGTAATGTTACAGTAGTATTATAAGACAGTCACTAATAAATCTGGTCAATCAGGGTAGGATCAGTACTGACATGTCAGAGCAGATGCTATAAACAAATCTCTCCTTTCTTCAAGAGTGCTAATCTCAACACAAAAGATCATGGCAGAGAGAAGTCAAGACTCTGATATTTCTGTTTTCTAACCACCAAGGCAATTAGGGAAAACAAAACAAAAAAAAACTCTGAAAACTAAACAGGTGAGATTTTTACATGTTCATAATAGATGCAGTATGTTGATTCAAAGGGTAATGAGATAAAAATGGGAATGAGTTTTGCCAACCTCCAAGAATTACAGATAGAAGGGATTACAATCCCATTGTTTCCTTTATATGTCTCCTCTATAATGCTGTGATCCAGCAAATAGACAAATTAAAATATCCCAATAATCTAGTGCTACTAAGGCCTGGCTCTAATACAATCTCCTTTATGAAGTTTGTCCTTACTGTTTTCCTGAGAGAAACTGATTTTGCTCTCTTTAATAACTCTTGTATATTAGACTTGCATGTCGTATCTCTTCTAAAGGTTAAAAAGCACTATGAAGACAAGAACTATGCCTTATTTTGTGACATTATAACCTAGATGCTAAAAATTTATGAATTATTTGAACTAAGTGAACATTGTGTAAAAATACAAAATAAATACAAGGCATACAGTTCCTGATTCTGAGAGATTTGCAGTATGGTTAAGGGGGTAAAATATATAAATAAGAAGCAATACCACTAATTTTAAAGAATAGCTTTTTAAGTGACATAGTCAAGGGGAAAGACATGCATTGCAGGAAAGGAGGGAGAATAGAGCATGAAAGCAGAACCCTGAAACATGAGGGCAGAATTACTATCCATTCATGAAGCTTAAGTCTTGCTAGAAAGATAGAATGAAAAGTAATTTCAATTAGGGCTTATGAATTTGAATGGAATATTGCTAAACAACACATTTCTTGGAGAGTTATTCTTAAGTAAAACCATAAGTATAATCTTGTTCCAATGTAATATGTTCACTTAAGGCATGAAGGCAGAGGCACTGGCAGTTCATTTTGAAGGGCAAAAGGGTATCTTGGGCCTTCTTATGTGTCTTCTTTTTAAAAAACTTCAGATTGAGGGCTCAGTCTTCATAAAACTACTGTACACTTTGACTAGTACTGATTTCAAAGGCAATTAGAATTACCTTTGGTTAGAGAACTTTCAACAAGCTAGGGTGGGAGGAGTTGAAATAATAAGTGTAAAATAGTCCCTATAGGCAACTTCTGAGACATAGGCACCCCTCTTGAAGTTCAAATTGAAAGCACTTGAGTGATATATTATCTATGACACAACCTCAATGGCAGGAGATTATGAGACTCAGGAGATGAAGGATGTTTCTAAAGCCAAAATGTAACAACTGGAGTGAAACTGATAAATGATTTTTCAACTCAGCCTTTCATCCTTCCAAGGCAGAAATATTGAGCAGCCTGCACTGTGCCATGTATGGGTCTTCCAGATGAGGTTTACTGTATGTTATGCAAAGGAATTAAAAAGCTGATAGCACTTTAGATTAAAAATAAAAAAAGTAGGGAGATAACCTGTGAGCCTTGGTTAAAATAGTTCTATACAATAAAGATACTTTCCCACAACTATAAAGTATTATCTCACAACTATAAAGAATGGCCAGTATCACAAAGACAAAAAACAAATGCTGGCATAGATGTGGAGAAATGGGAACCCTTATACAATGCTGGTGAGAATGTAAATTAGTACAGCCATTATGGAAAGCAGTGTGGAGGTTCCTCAAAAAACTAGAAGCAGAGCCACCATATGATCCAGCAATCCCACTGAGTTATTTATCCAAAGAAAATGAAATCAGTAGTCAGAGATATCTGCACCCCCATGTTTATTGTAGCACTACTCACATTAGCCAAGATACAGAATCAACCTAACTCCCCACCAACAGATGAACAAAGAAAATGTGATACAGATACACAATGAATACTACTCAGTGATTAAAAAAAGAGTAAAGGTGGGGTGTGGTGGCTCACGCCTATAATCCCAGCACTTTGGGAGGCAGAGGTGGGCAGATCATGAGGTCAGGAGATCAAGACCAACCTGGCCAACATGGTGAAACCCTGTCTCTACTAAAAGTACAAAAATTAGCTGGGCATAGTGGTGCAAGCCTGTAATCCCAGCTACTTGGGAGACTGAGGCAGGAGAATTGCTTGAACCTGGGAGTAGGAGTTGCACTGAGCCTAGATCACGCCACTGTACTCCTGCCTGGTGATAGAACAAGACTCTGTCTCAGAAAAATAATAATAATAATAATAATATCCTTTCCTTTTTGGCTACATGGATAAGCATGGAGAACATTATGTTAAATGAAATATGCCCCAAATACCATGATTTCTCTTATTTGTGGAGTTGTAAAAAGCAGCTCTCACAGATGTACAGGGTAGAATAGTGGTTACCAGAGACTGGCCAAAGATTGGATGGGGAGTGGTTAGTCAATGGATATAAAAGAACAGATGAATAGGAGTTCCAGTTCTAGTTTTCTGTTGCACAGCAGAGTAATTATAATGAACAATAATACTACACTGTATATTTCATAATAACCAGAAGAGAGGATTTTGAATGTACTGGCCACAAAGAATTGACAAATGTTTGAGGTGATGGATACATTACCCTGATTTGATTATTGCACAGTATATATATGTATTTAAACATCATACTGTACCCCTCAAATACGAATTGAATATACTATACATATTCAAGTAAAAATAAAACTTAGAAAGTTTTTTAAATTGTCAATTTTTGAAAAGGTTAAATGGCACTGCAGGTAAAACAGCATAGCAGACATCCAATAAACTGTTAGAAGAATGGCTAAAATATTTTCATAAACTTATAATGCTGAAAGGACAAATACATAAGGCCTGGAAGAATTTTTGAAGCTTTCACAAAGATTATTTAAGCATATTTTAAGTTTCCTAAAAAACATGAAGTGTACAATGTATACAAGATTCTATATTAGATGATACAAGTGCTAGGTTTTGGTCTTTTAACAGTTAACTATTTACTCTCTCTAGCATCCATTTTCTTTCTGATAACAACAGTGTTTCTTATTGGAAAATCTATCCATAGGGTTTAGATGGTGGTAAGAGAGGGTTACTCTATACTTCACTGCATACCCATTAGGGGGGCAGGTACACCATTCACACCTGTCCAATCCAAACATCAGACCCCACTGACTGGACCACGAATAACCAAAGCTGAATCGATGAAAGAACTTCTCGTGCTTTAACCAGAATTATCAAAAAAGACACTATCTCTGTCTGAGACACAGATGTTAAGGACACGGTAGTCTGAAGTACCAACAGCCATTTTCCTCATACTACAGAAGGCCTAAGAATGAAGCCAGTCAGCACAGAGTAAAGTAGATCTGAGAAATGGGACGAGTTAGTGTTAATGCTTGAACCTCTAGAATAGATCTAGAATGATCCAGCTATCCTGGCTGGGCATGTTGGCTCAAGCCTGTAATCCTAGCAATCTGGGAGGCCAAGGCAGGCAGATCACCTGAGGTTAGAAGTTTGAGACCAGCCTGGCCAACATAGCGAAATCCCACCTCTACTAAAAATACACAAATTAGCCAGGCGTGGTGGCGGGTGACTGTAGTCCCAGCTACTCAGGAGGCTGCAGCACGAGAATTGCTTGAACCAGGGAGAAGGAGGCTGCAGTGAACTGAGATCACATCACTGCACTTCAGTCTGGGTGACAGAGTAAGACTCTGTATTAAAAAAAAACAAAATCCCTATCTTCCTATCTTTACTTCCTTACCTCCTTCTTCTTCTTTCTTTCCTTTGATTTGGATTTATAAAACCCTCCAACATTTTCTCTTGACCCTGTCAGTCTCCTGTCACTGATTTATGTAGTGCCATTCTCTGCCATTCCTAATAATTCTGTGGTTCCACTGCAATACTAAAAGATGGTGAATAAATGCCTAAGCTGGGGCTATTTCAGTCTACTTAATGGTTACTTGACCTTACCACTAAACAAGGTAAGGAAAAATTTATGGATAGGGACTACAAAATCAGTTCTTAAAGAACATAACCTCTAATTGTTCAAAAATAGTTGTGATCTCATTATTTAACACTTATATATAATTAAGAAAAGAAAAGTTTTCAGAAGGTGCTCTCAGTAACTAGTTCAATCACAATTAATAAAAATCTATCTTTATAAGTATATTATACCTGAAACCCAACAGGAAGTCCAAAAGCCAAAAGAGAAAGTAGTTCACAATTTCCTAGGTCTTTGTGCCTAAAATTTGCTGAGAAAAATTACAGCATTTGGAATTATTTTAATTCCTCTCCTTAGAAGTTAAGAGTAAAATAAATTAATACAAACAAAAATAAGAACAAGCTTAAGACATGCTAGGCTAAACGATAATGTTGGGTGGGTATGGCTTATTAAATAGATTTTTGACTTAAAAACATTTTCTATATGCAAAGAGCTTATAAGAATATAACCTCATTGTAAGTTAAGGAGCATCTGTACTTTGAAAATAAGTACTTCTTTGGGATATCTTATCTATAGGAATCCATGAACATTTGATTTAAAAATGAAATTAGAATGGCGACATTACTTTAAACCTTTAATAAGTCAGCACCACCAATCTGGGAATACTGTCTCATGTGAATTGGTCAGTATGAAGACACAAAGCCATAGTACCTTACATGCTCAAATGAGTACTGAATTAGCAATTTCTCCTCTCCCATATTAACAGTTAAATCAATTTTTTTAAATGTATTTATGCTTTCATTGAAAGAACAGATGGAAAAGGAATAAATGATTTGCAATTTGAGGTGACTGAACCCAAATATTCCTATGTATCTTTATGTATATGCTTATGAAAAAGTTTCTCAACAATTATTTCTTGACACACCAAGAAAAATTCACCAAAGGCTTTGGTTGCAATACAACTTGATTTATGAACAATGAAATTTCAATTTCATATAATTTTCATGTCATGATTTTTTCCCCAGCCATTTAAAAAAGTTAAAACCTTTCTTAGCTCCATGGCAGTACAAAAACAGGAGGTTGGCTGGATTTGGCCTATGGGGCATAGTTTGCTGACTCCTGTTCTTCACCAAGATGGCAAATTAAATCCATATAACAGCTTTAAAAAATTCTATGTCTCTCTCACATACCTAGATGCTTAGGCCCTATCTCTAGAAATCAATTTTCTGACCAGATAAATGGTGACGGTGAGTATAATAAAACTACAAGATTTGTTAAATTTTCCAGATGATTCTAATGTGTAACCAGGGTCGAAGACTATAGAATATAGAATCAAATGGACACTCCATAGCTTCTTAAATTTTGGCAAGACGCCTATTCTTTGAGATTCTTTGTTTCTGCCTCTATACTGTCAGAAATGGCACATAAGGGCTCTTTATTATCGTTCCCTTCCACTGCTGCAGTGTACACAGTAACTGCTTAGTACACGTCTGATTAACACAATTCTGCACAAAACATATTTCTTCCCCTTAAATAATTTAAGAAAAATAAGGCAAAAACACATGTAAACCAAAACACAGAAATGTCTGTAATGAAATAACTATTAACACAATACATTGCTGTTTGCAGAAATGTGACAATCAGAAACAAAATGAAGAGACTCCAGGATTATATTTTAGAATAGCAGAAAGGAAGTAACAGTGAAAAGATCCTAAGAATAACTTACCTGTTTGATAAAAGACCCAAAACACTGAGACTATCTGCTTCTTCTATTAATTAATTATGGGTCAACAATCACTTGCTGACCAAAGAACAGAGTACTGAGCCTTCCAGCTTCCCCAACATTTCTGCCTAACACCTTGGAGAAGGTGAAATGTACCTAAAAGTATCACTACATGGCTACTGAGAATTTGCTCACTTCTAAATGATAAATATTTCACCATTGTGACAGGAAGCTTTCAACAACTAAGATGAAAAAAAAATGGAGAAAAACAGCTACCTCCTCTACTGATATCTTTTAAGGTATAAAGGTTTGGTTTCCATTAATCAACTTAACATTGAGTTATAAATTTTTTGACTTAGGCAATACCATTCAGGACATAGGCATGGGCAAGGACTTCATGACTAAATCACTAAAAGCAATGGCAACAAAAGCCAAAACAGACAAATGGGATCTACTTAAACTTAAGAGCTTCTGCACAGCAAAAGAAACAACTATCAATAGAGAGAACTGGCAATCCAACAGAATGGGAAAAAAGTTTTTGCAATCTACCCATCTGAGAAAGGGCTAATATTCAGAATCTACAGAGAACTTAAATAAATTTACAGGAAAAACACAAACAACACCATCAAAAAGTGGGCGAAGGATAAGAACAGACACTTTTAAAAAGAAGACATTTATGCAGCCAGCAAACATGAAAAAAAGCTCATCATCATTGGTCATTAGAGAAATGCAAATCAAAACCACCTTGAGATACCACCACATGTCAGTGAGAATGGCGATCATTAAATAATCAGGAGACAAGAGATGCTGGAGAGAATGTGAAGAAAAAGGAACACATTTACAATGTTGGTGGATGTGTAAATGAATCCAACCATTATGGAAGACAATGTGGTGACTCCTCAAGGATCTAGAAATAGAAATACCATTTGAACCAGCAATCCCATTACTGAGTATATACCCAAAGGATTAGAAATCATTTTGTTATAAAGACACATGCACATGTATGTTTACTGTGGCATTGTTCACAATAGCAAAGACTTGGAACCAACCCAAATGCCCATTAATGATAGACTGGATAAAGAATGTGACACATACACACCATGGAATACTACGAAGCCATAAAAAAAGGATGAGTTCATGACCTTTACAGGAACATGGATGAAACTGGAAACCATCATTCTCATCAAACTGACACAAGAACAGAAAACCAAACACCTCATGTTCTCACGGATAAGTGGATATTGAACAAAACAAACACAGGGACACAGGAAAGGGAACATCACACACCAGGGGCTGGGGGTTGGGGGTCTAGGGGAGGAATAGCAGGGGGTGGGGAGATTGGGGAAGGATAGCATTAAGAGAAATATCTTATGTAGATGACGGGGCAATGGATACAGCAAACCACCACGGCACATGCATCCTATGGAATAAGCCTGCATGATCTGCACATGTACCCTACAACTTTAAGTATAATAATAATAAAAAAATCTTTCAGGAAGATGGCTTAATAAAAATATATACAAAACAACAGTTTACATACCAGGAAGAAATATAAAGTAAACCAGTTGTCAATAGCAACACCAACACAATTAAAACATCTAGAAATATATTTAAAAGTAGTATGCCAGCTAATATTTAAACAGCCATGAAGTTTATTGAAAGATATGGAATGTCTAAATAATTCATTCTAATGTCTTAAACTCCTAATTGAAAGATGACAAATCAATATACATAACTAGCGCAATTCCAATTAAAGCCCAAAGATGTTTATGGCCAGGCCCAGTGGCTCACACCTGTAATCCCAGCACTGTGGGAGGTGAAGGTGGGTGGGTCATTTCAGGTCAGGAGGTCTTGAACAAACCCCATCTCTACGAAAAATATAAAAAATCAGCAGGGCTTGGTGGTGCACGCCTGTACTCCCAACTGCAGGGGAGGTTGAGGCAGGAGAATTGCTTGAACCCTGGAGGCATAGGTTGCAGTGAGCCAAGAGAGATTGCACCACTGCAGTCCAGCCTAGGTGCCCAAGTGAGACTGTCTCAAAAAAACAAACACACAAACAAACAAAACAAAAAACTCAAAAGGGTGTTTGTAAGTTGTGTAAAAAAAGTCGAGTAATTTAAACATGACTAACAAAGAGACGTTATTCCACCAGATAGAACCATAAAGTTCCAGTAATCAAAACTATGTAATTAAAACCAAAACTAACAAATCAATGAAAAAAAATCTAGTCTGAGGCCCAGCTAGCTATAAAATTCATTCATTCATTCTACACATTATTTATGAAATACTGTTTTAGGATCTACAATTTGGCAACAGAGAGGAAACAAAAATTCCTCTTCTTATGGTGCTTATATTCTAATGGAGAGAAAAATAATTGAATAGAAAATTCAAAATATGTTTTATTTTTTTAAAAAAAGAAAAACTGCTACCAACCTAACTCCCTTAAATAAAGCTTGATAGTTAATATCTTTTTTATACATACATTCATAAAATAATACCCCATACCAAATTATTTCCCCAACAAAAGTGAGATCCTGATGTATGTCCTTTCTTCTCAATTCAATATATGGTCATATACCATGTCAATGACAAAACAAATATATGGAAGCTGTTCCATAAAATTCCTGTCACCTAGTGATGGTATAGTCACTGTTATGGTTTAACAATGCATTACTCATGGGTTTGGGGTAATGTTTGTGTAAACAAATCTACTGTGCTGCCAGTCATTAAAAGTCTAGCATATACAATTATGCACAGTACATACTACTTGAAAATAAATGACTGTTTTCAGTTTACGTATCTACTATACTTTTTATTGTTATTTTAATGTGTACTCCTACTTTTTTTTAAAGTTAACTGTAAAACAGGTTTTTCAGAAGAATTCCAGAAGTCACTGTTACCACAGGAGACGACAGTTCCATGTGTGTTTGTCCCTGAAGAACGTTCCAGTGGACCAGATTTGGAGTGATACGAACGAGCCTGACTCTATCAGGCCTAGGGTAATGTGTGCTTTTGTGTATGAGGTTTTAACAAAAAAGTTTAAAAAGCAAAAACCAAATAACTAACTTAAAAATGTTTAGAAAAAAAGCTTACAGAATAAGGACACAAATGAATTATTTTTGCATAGCTATACAAAGTGTATTTTAAGCAGAGTATTACAGGAATAAAAGTTTAAAAAGTAACAAGTTTTCCTCCAACCTCCTGAGGAAAAAATAAAAGAAAACAAAAAAAATAATAAATGTAACAAGTTGATACAACAAAAAATGTTACAACAACAAAGTTTAATCTAAGGAAAAAAATTTAATGTATTTAGTGTAGCCTAAGTGTACAGTGCATATAAAATTTACAGTAATGTCCTAGGCCTTCACATTCACTCAACACTCACTCACTGCTAACCAGAGCAATTTCGAGTTCTAAAAGCTCCATTCAGAGTAAGTGCTCTATACCAGTATACCACTTTTATCTTTTATGCCATATTTTTACTGTACTTTTTCTATGTTTAGATATATAACTATTTACCACTGTGTTAAAATTCCCACAGCATTTAGTACAATAACATGCTGTACAAGCTCATAGCCTAGGAGCAATAGGATATCATATTACCTAGGTATCTGTTAGACTACGCCATCTAGGTTTGTATAAGTATACTCTACGATGTTCACACAATAAAATCACCCAACTACACAGTTACTGGAATGTATCCCTGTCGGTGACATATGACTATATTGTAAAAAGGTTACCATTTTATTGATGGAAAGACCTTAATGTTTAATTACTATACAGTATTTTATTGTTTGAATGTATCTGAATTAACTACTCCCCTGTTGTTGGCTTTTTGAGCCATTTATACAAGGAGCTGTGAGCTGCCAATCAATGTAATATTAAATTATCAATGTAATATTAAAACACATGCCAGGCACAGTGGCTTACACCTGTAATCCTAGCACACTGGAGGCCAGAGGTGGACGGACTGCCTGACCTCAGGAGTTTGAGACCAGCCTGCGCAACATGGTGAAACCCTATCCCTAATAAATACAAAAAATTAGCCAGGAGTGGTGGCGTGTGCCTGTAGTCCCATAGTCCCAGCTATTAGGGAGGCTGAGGCAGGAGAATCGCTTGAACTCGGGAGGTGGAGGTTGCAGTGAGCTGAGATGACACCACTGCACTCCAGCCCAGGCAACAGAGTGGGACTCCATCTCAAAAAAAGAAAAAGTTCCCTCTTTTTCATGTCTTATAATAGAACTATCATGATTGGGTGAAGTATGCAGAAAAACATTTTCTTATATGAATGTCTTCATATAAGAATTCATATTGATATTCATATAATTCATATTTTCTTATATGAATATATTGTCTCATCAGATTTTAAAAATCAGGCCAGAAACTGTCTCACACCTGTAATCCCAGCACCAAGGGAAGCCAAGGCAGGAGAATCACTTGAGCTCAGAAGTTTAAGACCAGCCTGGGCAAAACTGAAATGCTGTCTCTACAAATAAAAATAAGAATAAAAATTAATCAGCTAGGTGTGATGTTGCTTGTCTCAGGAGGCTGAGATGGGAAGATTGATTGAGCCTACGAGTTTGAGGCTTCAGTTAGCCACAACTGTACCACTGCACTCCAGCCTAGATGACACAGTAAGACCCTGTCTCAACAACAACAAAAATCACCTTTATAATTTACAGAATTTATTTACAGTAAGTTTTGAGAAATCGAATGCATAATTTATAATGTAATATCTACCACAATTAAGACACAGAACATTTTCATGCCTCCAAAGGGTTCCTTAATGCTTTTTCACAATAAATGTTCTTCCATTTAACCCTGTTAACCACTGATCTGTCATTAGTTTTGTCTTTTATAGAATAGTCATAGAAAAAGATTAATACAGTACATAGTCAACTGTGTCTGGCTTCAATAACTTAGTATAAAGAATTAGAGGCTGGGCACTGTGGCTCATGCCTATAATCCCAGCACTTTGATAGGCCAAGGCAGGCAGATCACTTGAGACCTGGAGTTTGAGGTTAGCCTGACTAACACGGAGAAACCCTATCTCTACCCAAAAGTACAAAAAAATTAACTGGGTGTGGTGGTGTGCATCTGTAATCCTAGCTACTCGGGAGGCTGAGGCATAAGAATGGCTTGAACCTTAGAGGCAGAGGTTGCAGTGAGCTGAGATTGTGCTATTGCACTCCAGTCTGGGCAACAGAGCAAGACTGTCTCAAAAAAAAAAAGAAAGAAAGAAAGAAAGAAAGAAAGAAAAAAGGAATTTAGAGACTCCTCCATGTGGTGGAATGCATCTGTAATTTGTTCATTTGAACTGATAAATCAACATTTGCCTATCAGTTTATTAGTTTGTACTTGAATGTTTATAGAATTATTCACAATAGGAATAAAATAATTTAATAATAATTCAGGAATAAATTGAATTATTCTTTCTCTAATTCCTGATTGGTCTGGCTTAAATGTTCTTCAGCTTTACTACCAAAATATGGAATGCTGTGAAAGCACTGCTAAGAGAGAAATGTATAGGTGTAAAGGTTTTGCATGAGTTCCATGGATTGTTACACCTGCTCCTTTCAAGTTATTCTTTCTCCAGCCTTGGGTAATTTGTCACACATACACAGATCAGTATTCACTCAAAAACTCAAGAGGTTCAGTGAGTTTTGTGGAGATTCGTGGATCTCCACACTTCTGTCCTGATGCATCTCACTAATCTCTAGTAATTTTATTCAGAAATTCTAGACACCTTGGCCTCCCTGTAGTTCAAATTCTGTCTCTTCAGTGTAGTGTGATACCCACTGCCCAAGCTCTCAATATGTCTGCTCTCCCTGTTCCAAAACTGTCTCTAGGAAGTAAGTTGGGAAGAGCTACAGAAATCATTTTATTTCCCTTCTAAGATCAGTGTCTATACTGGTTATTATCCAATGTCCAGAAACAATTCTTTATTTTGTAGACTGGTTTTCTAGTTTGAAGCAGGAGTGTAAATTCAGTCCCTGGGACTCTGTCAGGGCTAGAAGTGAAAGTCTAAATTACTCTTATGTTCTTTAAAAATAAAAATACACACATACACACACGACCTGAATCTTAGAGAGGGGAAGAAGCAGAGACCTCCAATTCCTGGGATAGTTGCCACACTGATTTTTAAAAACTGTACACTTTAAGGCTTTTGTTACCAATACATAGAACTAATTTTTCATTGATTTCTGTATTAAAAATGATTTTGTAAGTTTCACCTAAATTCTTAAGAGTATCTCAAACTCTGGCATGTGGTAATCAATTATAAAAAGTTTCTTTCCTTTAAAAAACTAATATATTGTTTGTGACCCCTTTATTAATATTTAAAGAAAGAAAAATCACTTTTTACCTTAAAAGAATAAAAATAAAAAAGAACCGGAACCTTAGTTTTACATTTTCAGGGTCTATATAAGCATCTGATAAACCTCCATAATCCTATCATCCAAAGATGACCACTTCAATTTTTAATAATAGTGTCTTTTTTATACATAATGAAAAAATGGATACATACTGTTTAGTACCTATATTTTCACTTACTAAATCATAATCATAATAGTCTCGATGTCAGCTCACTGCAATCTCCACCTCCTGGGTTCAAGCGATTCCTCTACCTCAGCCTCTTGCATAGCTGAGATTACGGGTGCGCGCCACAACAGCCAGCTAGTTTTTTGTATTTTAGTAGAGATGGGGTTTCACCATGTTGGCCAGGATGGTCTTAATCTCCTGACCTTGTGATCCGCCTGCCTTAGCTTCCCAAAATGCTGGGATTACAGGCTTAAGCCACCACATCCAGCCTAAACTGTAATATTCTGTTAAATATTTGTTCAATCACGGTTGATGGTTATAGACTATACCATACCAAATAGTCCACTATTATTAAACATCTGGGTTGTTTCTAACTCTAATAAAGACCTTACATACACTCTATTATTCCTTAGAACAAATTCCCATAAATGAAACATGACATTATTTTTTGTCATTTTTCTCTTTTACTGTGGTAAATATATAAAACATAAGATTTGCCATTTTAACCGTTTAAAAATGTACAACTCAGTATCATTAATTATACTCACAACGCTGTACAACCATTATCACTATTTTCAAAACACTTTTATCACCACCAAGGAGAAACTGTACCCTTTAAGTAATGTCCCCCAATTTCTTTCTCCCACCCAACCCCCGGTAAACTTTAATATATTTCTGTACCTATTAATTTGCCTATTCAAGGTATTTCATTCATATGGGCTCATACAATACTTGTCCCTTTATATCAGACTTATTGCACTTAACGCAATGTTTTCAAGGTTTATCCATGTTGTACCATGTATCAGATATTCATTACATTTAATGGCTGAGTAACATTCCATTGCATATAGATACCACATTATGGTTTTCCATTCATCTCTTAATAGACACTAGGGTTGTTTCTACCTTTTGGCTATTGTGAATAATCCTACTATAAACATTCAAATACAAGTATCCCTTACATTGAAGCCTATTTTTTTTTTTAACTGCTCCTTGTGTAGCAGGGCTACTCCACAGGTAGTGTGCCCAGAGAAGCCACATTTAAGACTTTTGGTAATTATGGCCCAAATGCCTTTCAGCAAGAAAGAGTCACTAAAACTCACAGCCATATATATACATATATGAATGCTCATTTGATCATGATCTGCCATCTTTACAAATTTAAATGGCACTTAGATTTTTATGAATAGCGACGGTAAACATTGTCCTTATGTTCCATCTTTTTGGAACCACTAGTTTATATGCTTGGCCCACATTCCCCACTAGAGCGTTTCCTTATTGGTTTCTAAGACTATTTCATGTATTAGATTAAGACTATTTTATACAATTAGACTAAAAGCCCTTTTATTAATCACATAAGTTGTGGGGTTTTTGCATTTTCCTCTCAATTTTGTTTTTAATGACTGTTCACATTCAAAGGTGTTCATGCAGAGGTAGTTAAATCCTACCAGTTTCTTGA